GAATCTCTCTTGGTGAGAATTAAAAACAAAGAAAAATAAGCCTCTAGGTTATTGAAGTAGCTATTTTTAGAATACTTGTCTTTACATTGTGCTATTCATATTTTACAGACATTTCTAAAACAGTTCTCTGTTTCATGGTTTTCAGCCTATAGCTAAGAAAGAGTTTGTTTTTAAACACTCTATGAACTGAGCCAGGGCCTTCCATGGGCTACTTTATTTAATTTTTGTACATAGTTATGAGGAAATCTATTTGTTTTCGATTACTGTAAACAATCACCACAATTTTAGTGGCTTGAAACAATACAAATTTATTTTATTACATCTGTGGATGTCCCAAACCAGTTTCACTGGAATAAAATTGACACATTGACAGGCCTGCGTTCCTTCTGGGGTTCCGAGGGGTGAATTGGTTACTCTGATCCTTCTACCTGCTACTCAAAAATTTCCTTGGATTACACTGGACCCACCTGTATAACCCAGGATAATCTCCCCATTGTAAAATGCTTATTTTAATTACATCTCCACAGTCCTTTTTAATGTGTCAAGAAACATTTGTAGATTCTGGGGATAGTACATAACATCTTTTGGAACAGGGATTTGTTTTTCAGTCTACCACAGGTAGATGCTATTATATTCATTCTGCAGATGAAAAACATATAATAATTGTTAATCTCATTTGAGAAACACAATTCAAAGAGACTGAATAACTTACTCAAACTCACAAAACCAAAAAGTGGGCCTCAACACAATGTAGGCCCTTCTGACTCTGACTGTGTTTACGCTACTCAGTGCTGACCCCAAAGTAAGAAAAAAGATCAAGGAAAGGTTCCCTCCTTCAGGGAAGATTTTTACATTTTCTTTATTAGTGAAAAATATTTATTGAATACTTTTATTTAATGGCTACTATATATAAGATCCAATGTTATGTGCTGAGAGGAAATATGAATAAGACCTAGTCAGCTCCTATTAATCCCCTCCTCCCATATATTTCTATGCCTATAACTCCTAAATCGATACCTACCATCCCGATTAAATTCAACTATCTAATTGACAGCTCCACTTTCATGTTATATAAACTTAACTTTTGTTTTTTTTCCTGCAAATAAGTTCAATCCCTCAGACTTCTTCAGCTCAGGAAGCAACACTGCCACGCTTCCTTCCGTCATAGTCCATGGCCAATTAATAATCAAATGCCCGCAATTTGTCTCAGAAATATATCTTAAGTCCATTTATGCCTAATTATTTCATTACCCCCAAACTGGTATCTTTGTTTCCTTTCTTATAATGCCTCAATCTATTTTCCATACATAAACTGGTATGAACATAATCTGGATTATGTCAATTCCATGGTAAAACACTTCAATAACTACCTACTGCATTGCATCTGCACAGGGTTACTGTATATCTTGTTCTGTTTAGGACATTTGTGTGCCTTTTGTCTTGGTGTAACTAATAATAGAGCCTCTGTTCACTTAAGTGTTCTGTTTAGATGATAATTTATATAGTCACCATATTTATAAGACTTTGTGTAATCTTTCCTCTGCTTCATATTTTCTTTTTTCCCAGAGCCAAAATCTTATTCCTTAGGGCTCATTGGGGTCTGTCCTGAAGTCTCCCTTGTAATTATTTTTCTTCAAAAGCTGGATCACAGAGTTTAATCCTATACCTAATTGTATTTGTTGGATGTCTGTTCATGCTATTAGGGTACACAGAGAGAAGCAGGCCTGTGCTGATGTTTTTGCCCCTACATACTTTAGTAAGCATAGTACCTGTCACATGACAGATGTCCACAAATATGCATTGAAGAATTAATGACTAAATAAACTTCCAGCCAGTCAGAGAGTTAAGTAAACACATAGTATAACATTTAAATAATAAAAATACATTCTAAATACCCACAATCAAAACTAATACAGAAGAGGAAGAATTACTTCTGTTTAAAGAGATTGGTTGACTATGGAAGGCTGCATAAGAGGAGGAAGCTCAATCAGTGTTGATGACTGAAAAAGCAAACTATGAGAAAATATTTCTAAGCAGAAGAGATAGCATTTGCAAAGGCAAAAAAGTTTAAAACAGTGTGATTATTCAGGGAACTCAAAGCAGTTTCTATTATTAGAGTGTACAGTCTTGCATAAATGATATATTAATGCCATGTATCCCTAAGGATAAAACCTAAATTATAGAAAACACTGCAGGAAATACAGAGAAGAGCTAAAAAAAAATTGAATCTTAGTTTTGTTTTGTTTTTTCCATTTATAGTGCCAGGACGATTTGAGAATTCTTATTGCATATTTAGCTCACCTTATAAATTATAGACGTTCTTAGATAAGTAAATCACTTTTTGAAGAATTATATGTGAAACTTTATTGCTGTAAAGAATCTTCCCAGTTGTAAGTTTGTCATGCAATATTCACAAAGTTATAATACAGGGTCCATAAGAAACTATATTGAAATTGATGGTATGTAAACTGGAATTTTCCTTCAAATAATTTTATTGGTTTTCATTTTATGAGTTATCTCAAATTTCTGCTTTGAGTAATGTATTCTTATTTATTCTTAGACTGTAAAAAGAAACAGGCTAAGAATAATAAATTAACGTTTCACCATTTATATTATACAAATGCAAAGATGACCATAACTGTAGAATGTATAGAATATCAAGTCATATTTTAAATCCTAAGAGTTGAAACAATGAATTAAAACTAATCTCAGCCTACAATTCTACAAGAAGAATATTTTGAAGCAATATCCTTGGTACAGATAATCATAAATGGTTTCTTGAACATGAAGAATAGATACCAGAAATTGAGTAGTGGCGGCCAGCAGGACATGAATACTGTATGTGGCTCCCCGCGCAGTTCAAAGTTGGAGCCAAGATTTAAATTTGGCAAAGTCATGTAAAAAAATCCAGTTTTGGCCCCTCTTTGAAAAATTGAAAAATCAGAGAACTGATGGGAAAACCACAGTTTCCCACGGAGGGGGGGGTAGTTGTTCTTAAGTTCACTTTAGAGCCATCGTCCCCATCAGTCCAGGTACCAGGATCTAGGCCACTTCCTTTATGTATGTGACATGCCTTAAGACCTTGTGCCAGACTGATAAAATCCCCAACGATTAAAGACCAATTGAGCATTATCAAAATGCCTAAGAAAGAATTTAGAATTTGACCATTTGTAATACTGAATATTGAAGGTATATATTATTATCATAAAATCATCTAAATATTTTTCTTTGAATTTTGTTTGTTCAGTAAACTACACCAAAACAAACAAAAAGCCAAACCAATCCAGTATATATTTTCAACACAGGCACATCAGACAGTCTTGAAACTGGTCTCTGTAAGGGCCTAAGACCATGACTGAACGCCCCCCACTTCACATCCTTCTGCTGCTGGAATTGTGGCTTTTTTTTTTTTTTTTAGTTTAGATTTTCAAGTAAAAGTTCACTTGACAATACAATTTTATGTCTTATTACTATTTCTTTTTTAAATAATGGAACTAGATAATCTTCTAGGGCTTTTTACTGTGCCAACATTTTAACAAGTTCTGATACTCATTTTTTTTAAAGATTGACCACTCTTCAAAGAAACTTTTGTACTTTCCATGTAATTTTTCTACTCCTTTTCTTTCCTTTTATAAACACAGTCAAATATTGTATTAAGATATAAGTTTGTGTTCTGTGCTTGCCTCTTCAGAATAAATAGGAAAACCTGTGTGTTTCTGTCTGAACTCTCTATATTGACAGGGTTTTTGTTCTGTACGACCTAAAATTGCAATCCTGAGGCAGAATCCTCACTTAGCTTTTGTTTGAGAAGTTGATTTATTTCTATTTAGCAGTAGAGGTGAAGGTGGAATGTGGTTTCTTTTTCCTTTTCCCTAATAAACATAGGTATATGCATTTTACCTCTGGCCAGTAAGCTATTTGTTTTGTCATCTGGTCAATATAACAATCAAATATATATATACATACATACATATATATGTGTGTGCACTTATATATAATATATAACATATTTTAATATATATAAAATATATTTATACATATTATATATAAATATTATATATTTATTATATATAATATTTATTAATTATATAAAATATTTGTTATATATTTATTTATTATATAATATTTAATATATTAAGTTATGTATAATTTTACATATTTATATATAATATGTATTTTAGATATATATGAAATATATTTATATATTATATATAAATATAAAATTATATATATTTTATAAATATTATAAAATATATAATTATATATTTAAATACAATTATATATTTATGTATAATTATATTTATAATTATTTTATATATATTATATATAATTAAATATATAAATATTATATATTTATATATTATACATATATGTATACATATGCACATATACATATATAAATATATAAATATATATTTATATATTATACATATATAAATTTATATATAAATATATATTTATATATTATACAATATATAAATAATATACTCAATGTATATTTATGTGGAAGAATATTTAAATAAACATTTTGCTCCTAAATTGACTCAATTTTTTTTTACTTAAAAACTTATAGGTGACATGTTATTCATAGAATTATAAAATTTGAGAGGTATGTGGAGTATAAAAATTTGTCTAAATTTATAATTTTACAAAATAAGGAAAGAATTCTAGATTTTTTATCATATATATTATATACATATATAATATTAATATTATATATAAATATATTTATATATTATACATATATAATATACATATACATAAATATATAAATATTTATGTATATGTATATTATATATGTATAAATATATTTTTATATATATATATATATATCATGTGTTGGATCTGTGCTTTGAATATAAATATCTCCTTACATCTTTTAGTAGCAAATATATTTAAATAGATTGAAAAACTTGACATGTTTTCAATATCCAAACTGCTCTGGATCAGGAAATACAAAGCTAGAAAAGTCATTTCCACAGGAAGTGTTGGGCACTCACCTTAGCTATCTGGACGCACCAGTTAAGCAGCAGCTGTGATCCAATGTTATCCTTATGTTCATGAACGTAGTCCAACAGGCAGCCATGGGGCATAAGCTGTGTAACCAGCTGAATGGTTGGGCTCAGACACACACCCAATAACCGGACTAAGTGTGGATGGTCCATACTTGCCATGATTAGAGCTTCCTGTAAGAAAAAAATATAATACCATCATTACAATTCAAAGGTATTTACAAATTTAGTTACTTGTACTGCACTAATGGCACTGATGAGGGTTTTGAAATGTACTCTCACTCCATGAAATCAATTAAAAACAAAAAGACATTATGTTGCTATTATAGTCTTTGTGATTTGGTTCACGTAAAATTAAATGAAAATCCAACACTATACATTTATCAAAGTAGAAATGCTTTAGAATAAGTGTATATAAAATTTATAGCAGTATTTTCTCTTTTGTAATACAGACTATATTAAGTGTTATTTATTGACAGATAAATTAAAATTGAAAGTTGCCTTGTGCTCTGCATTTTTAACCTTTGATCTTTGGTTCTAGAGTAATTCATGCAAATGCAGTTATTTACATGTAAAATAAGGGTAGACAAACTTAATTTATCTATTAATCATGTGGATTCTAACTACCTATATAGGTAAAATTTATAAATTATAACTATCAAAACTTAAACAATTATAAATAATATACTCAGTGTATATTTATGTGGAAGAATATTTAAATAAACATTTTGCTCCTAAATTGACTCAACTCAATTTTTTTTTTACTTCAAAACTTATAGGTGACATCTTATTCATAGAATTATAAAATTTGAGAGGTATGTGGACTATAAAAATTTGTCTATTCTAAATTTATAATTTTACAAAATAAGGAAAGAGTTCTAGATTTTTTATCATAATCATAAAAGCATTTTTTAATGGAGATAAAAATTTTTTAATGCATCTTTTAAGTGAGTTTCCAGTGAAAATTTTAAATGTCTTTGTTAGAATTTGAAACAGATATGACCTTATGCACACACCTACAGAGGAGTGTGAGACATATATGACAATTTATCAATATGAAGGTATGTTCAATGTACTATTCTTGAACAATCTCTGTAGTTTTGAAATATTTCAAAACAAAAAAACAAAAATCTAGGACCAGATGCTATAATGAGCTCCTGTTCAAGATGGCATGGCAAATTGAGTAACACATTTACTTCCATTCGCTCTCAGTTTCACTCTACTCACAATAAATAACCTAATACAAAGCCAGACATGGAACATGATAGAGAGGAAGCAGTAAGGAAATAATTATGTAAGTAGGAAGAGGCTTACTTCTAGGAACTGATTTAGCAAACATAAGAAATCTGAAGTCTAATTCAGCAGGGTGGTGGGAGTGAGGGAATTGAGAAGAAATCCAGTTTATGCCACAGAGGTGAACCACCAAAGACCAAGGAGCATTAGCACCATAAGCCTCTGTAAGTGAGTGGGAGGGTATGACTTCAGATGGATTGATTTAAAGTACATTTAAGAAGGACTTCGACTACAAGTCTACACTGCATCCATCATGAGGAGAGACTGACCAAAAGGGTTATGAATGATAGATATTTCTCACAATAAAAAGAGAAGTGTTCTGATAAAAATATTAAAATTAGTGAAAAATGGGACCACTTTCAACTTCCTTCTTCCAAATGAAGCTGTGACTTCAAAATGCTTAAAGTTTTGTTTAAACCTTGAATTCTACATCCAGAAAAAATTTAACAAGGTGAGTAGATATACAGGCTTGTTCAGACATGTCTGTTCTTAAGATCTTTTATGTCAGATGCTTCCTTTCTCTGTTAGATGTGCTTAATAAGTAAATGGAGGGGAGGGAAAAAGAGTATATTAAATTGAGGAAACAATAAAATAGTAGTGATGGAATATTTCAGAATAAAAGATGTGAAACAAACTGAGATAATAACCAATCCAGACTGAAGTAAGGCAAATTTGCTCTGGGAAGGGTGATCCAAGAAGATGGAATTGATAGAATACCTAACCAGTTGAAAGTACATTAAGAGGATATCTATTCTTCTAGCAGAGATTGAAATCAAATTAGTGATAGACACATACAAAACTAAACAAAAGTAAAAAAAAAAAATTGATGTAAAACACAAGAAATGCACAGGAAAAAAATTATTGTATTTACTACGGAGCACATATGGGGTAAGTTATATAATCATAATGTAAACATGGAATGCTGAAATGAGCAAACATCATATGACTATATTGGAAGATCGGGGGCAGGGAGGTATATTTCTGCAAGGTGGTGATGGAAAGAAGTAAAAGGCATATTCTTGTCGTTCACACTAAAAAGTTAATACTACATAATGCATAAAACTGAAAAAAACAAGAGTTGACAGTATAAGCATATTATTTAGATTTATGAAGCTTAGCTGCAGGAGAAATTGCCCCAAAGTTGAAAGTGATTGCTTTGGGCAATGCAAAATGGGGTCAAGGATGGGAAAGGTGGGTGGCTAGAAACTGCTGTCTTTCACCATTAGCCTTGAAGAGATACTTGGCTTTTATCATTGTTATCTTAAAGCTGTTTCTGAGGACATTATTCAGTTTCACCTCCACTGCTATTTTAGCAGTGTTGAGTTCAGCTGAGTCTAAAGATTATTTACAATTATGGGGTACGTCTGATGGAGTACATGAATTTACCAAATGCGGCCCGAGTCTTCTGAAGTCTTCTCTGAGGTGTACCATCTTAGTTTTTGAGTAAGGAGCGGGGGTGGGGCGGGGGGTGGTATAAGCACATGCCTGGAGAAAGGAGGGAGTCTGGGCCAGACAGAAGAAATAAGCTAATAGGATGGTATCTGCCTCACTCAAAGAACTCGGTTTTTGAGTCTATGCGGGCTGAAGCTGAAATCATCATTTCCCAGATGGCTTCCAAGTAGGTTATGTCTCCAATTCCCCTTTTTGCAGACACTAGAAACTAGCTGAGTTATAGAATGGGGGAGAGCCCCAGTTCCTGTGCTTCCTGTCTGAGACTACCACTGGGAGGCATCACCTCCTGCAAGGAGGTTGGTATCCTCAGGTGGTACCAGTCAGTAGTGCCAGGGGTAGAACCTCTCAGTGGCTCAGAGAGGCTCCACGCAGGGGCAAGAACATATAAGAAAGGACACTGTAGGTGCCACAGGGTGACTGCAACTGGGAGGCTGGTTTAAAATTGTATGAGGCACCCAGTAACTTCCCAAACTATTTGGGAAATGTCCATTGGGTGCTGGAGTTTCTGTATAATCAGCAAAGCAGAAACTTGAGTTATTACTAATAATATGGCCCCATCTGAATCAATGAGGTGGAACTTTCTGGTTTCACTTACTGTATATTTTAGTGAACATGTGAAATAAAGCAAACCACTATGGTTATAAGGATAGTACAGCGAGGCATGTTAACCAAGTTAAATTACCTATTATTCAATCTATTATTAATATTAATTAATTAATTCAAAATTAATATTAAAAGTGTAAACCAGAGGGTCCTTGTGCTGAATTGTGATATGCACACATATAAGCAGACATACACACACCAACAAATAAGCAAAACAGCTAATCAAACATCTAACTTAACCAAGTACCAAATTAGGTATTTAATTAGGCATGAATAATAACTATCTAATTAATTTAAATATATGTTGTTGTATTCTCTCTATTTCTCTTATTTTTTGATGACTCTCAGTCTTCTGTGTTCATAAGTGGCACCTAAGTTTATTCCAAAAGTAGCTTTCCTCACTCCAGTCCCAGATCTAAAAGTGGATCAGAAATCTGCATTTGCATTTGTAACAAGCTCCCCAGATGAAGCCCAGATGTAGGAAATAGGAAACTCCGAGAACTTCTAGAACATCTCCATTAAATGTGCATGCCTATGATCCATTTCAAAAACAGTAACATATGACAGTGTTTTGATTCTTATTACACCCTATAAAACAGTCAAAGGGGTAGTAATTCTCAGCTGTAAAATGAGGACACAGAGGTGAGTGGGATTACTGCTTCAGGCCATGTGACAAGTAAGTAGCAGGATCAGTTTTCAGACTCTAGCTTTCTGATTCTTAATGCAGTCCTATTTATTATGACAGTAAAAATATCACATTTTTTCCACTTCCATTCCATCAGCACTTCACCCTGTAGATGCTTGTCTTGTTAACAAGAAGACAACCCCGACCTCTGAATTAGCCATGTCTGAATGAATTGGGTTAAATTATACTTCTGTTCCCAAGGAGCAACTAAAATCAAAGAACAAAACTGTATTTTCAGGTAAACTGTCATCACTTATAATATGCTTTCAGCAAAAAAGCCAAAGAAACATATCTTTCTGATTTCCTAAGAGTGATGTTAGGTACAGGCAATTTCTTAAGATAAAGAAAATAATAAAGTTTCAGGTAAAAGAGAGGTTTTGAGGTTGTGTCAGGCTTCCCTTTCAGCATGAATATATAAACAATGTTTTTCTTTCTTTTACAATTTAAGGAGTAATGATAATTCTATTGTAAATACACATTTGAAAAGTTTACATCAGCAGAGTGTAAAAAAGTCACATGAAAGTTCTCTCTTAAAAAATCTATTAGTAAGTCCTGGCAAAAAAGCTGGGGTTGTATTAAGGAAAATTGCTCATCACACTACAAAGAGTATTTAAAACCAAATTGCAGAGTATTTGCATAATAGTTCTCTTTTCTGAGAAAAAAAAGATGAACAAGACACTAATTGTAGGTTTTATTTTTTCATAAAGGAAATAGCAGATGGCTTTTTTGGGAAATAGGAAAATAGATAAAGAAAAGAGAATATGGATTCATTTAGAGTGATGAGTGGGATCGAAAGGGAAAAATGTCCAATATTTTAATAATAGAGTGTTGGGTTTCAATACATTACTCTGTGTTAAAATTAATAATGTCCACTGTTCCATATCTTATGTGAGGTCCATAGAAAGAATTTTGGAGTCTTTTCTGCTCCTACTAAAAAAATGTCACCGAGGTCACTGGAATAAATACAATTTGACAGGTGCATTATCAGTTTTTCCAGAAATAAAATGATTCTTGTTCTTTATTTTCCCTTTTGCCTTCCAAGAGTTTTCTTGGAGTTGAATTAAAGAATTTTCCTCATTGGACAGGGAAGTGTGTAACAGGTATGATACTGAAAACTAACACATGAACTTTTTTTCTTTAT